AAAAACCATTCGAGACAACATATCTCAATAATTTGATCATTGACCCCATATAATATGAATACCATGAGAATTACGGCAACAAAAGTTTTCTGAGGCTATCAATAGTTTAGAGTTCTTATCAGTCAGATTTTTGTAATAAACGATTAAAAATGGGGAAAAAATATAAATATGACAGAGGAAATTAGGACTGTAATAATTATCACATTTATGAACCAAACTCCAATTCTTTCTTTATATGAAGCAATGTTGTTCCATTGCTATAATATTTCATTAATTAAAGAGTTTAGTTGCTTGTAATATTTTGTGTGTATAGAAAAATTGGTCATAGTGTGAAAAATTGAGGTATTTCCCGAGAAATACTCAGGGGTCACTAGCATGAAAAGTAGGTCATTGACCTAGTTATTTGAAATTGAACTTTAACACAAGAATCATAAGTGTACAATGTACAATAGGTAGTTTTTCGTTCTTATCAGTGGAATTTTTGGTCATCCTGAGTAAAAGTATACCTTAATGGTGGTGTAAATATTACTTAAAGCTGCTTAATGGTGCCTAAAAGACAACCATTAAACCAACATTAAGGACCTATAAGCCACCATTAAACCAGGCTCAAGGTAGAACCTATGTCGGAGAAGTCTTTGTCACAAGATTTTCAAACTTTTTATAATGATACATTAGCACTTGCTTATCAATCAGTTAAATTGATTGATTGATTGTATATTGTTTAACGTCCCTCTCGAGAATTTTTTACTCATATGGAGACGTCACCGTTTGCCGGGGAAGGGCTTCAAATTTAGACCTATACTCGGCACTCAGGGCCATTGAGCAGTGAGGGTTCTTTATCGTGCCAACGCCTACCGTGACACGGGACCTACGTTTTTAAGGTCATATCCGAAAGACCCTTGACTTTCACTTCTAGTGCCGAGCGCTTGGCGAAGGAACAGTCACTACCTTTGTTTACGTCTTAGGTATGACGCGGCGCCGCGATCGAGAATCGAACCCGGGCCTCCCGATCACGAAGCGAACGCTCTACCACTAGGCTACCGTGACCGGTCAATCAGTTAAAAGTACATGACATGTTTCCTAGTTATTAAATGTAGTGCAGCCAGTTAAACATATGTAAATATTTTTCAGAAGTCTTTGTCTCAATGTTTTCAATCTTTAATATGATAAAGAACATACCCAAATGATTACAAAAAGTGATTAAAATATATAACTTTCCCCACTAACTAATGAGAAATAGGCTATTTACCGATGCTAATATTCTTGACCTTTTTTCACTTACACGGATTTTATTATCAAATGACTGTTTGGGGTTACTTTCGGATTAAAAATGTTTATAAAAAATTGTACCCTTAATTTAAAAGATCATATGTATTAGAAAAATTATAATAAAACTCCAGGAATATGAATATAAAGTAACAAATAATTATGAAAAGGAACGCACATCATTTCATGATAGATATCACAAAATGTACACACAATCTACAACACATACATCTTTGACTTAGACACATTTCATTAAGATAATACACTATTTAGTTGGCAACTGACGATTTTTTAAGGATTTTTGAATTCCTTAGAAATAGTTACATGCTATTTACATCATTATAAAAAGTTGTATACATTGTAATTTCATCACACAATATAGTCTTGACTTTGTCAACTTAATTAAGGTCAAGATCTACGAGGGGTTATCAAAAAGTTCTTGGACTGAGGCTATAAAATTAGTACTATGTATTCTGTGCATTCAAAATTTATATGGAACATAAAACAACATAAAATAGAGAAATGTTGAAAATTTTAGCCTGGTGTGTTCATTATTTGCCAAATTATTGTAAAATGAAAACGACATTATATGATCACCTGGCGCTGTCATCGTTTATTTTCATGACGTCCGTCATTGTTTTTTCAATGTCATCTTCTTCTACCTCTTTTTTGATGAGAAGCTGAGTAAGGACTTAAACCCGCCTTGTTTTTATGACTTTACAATGTCATTAACAGTGGTCTTTAATGAATATAATATTTTAGATGGATAAATACTTTGGGAGAGATCCGCGCTTGATTGTGCCGGCATACGTCATTTTTTACGGGATTGATTTTTCGCACCTTGACTGCAAATCGACATTAACTGTGTATCCCTTTACTCTCTGAATCTATTTTGACATTAAAAGACAAGTACTCTGGTTGCATATTATTTCTCTGTAGCCAGTTTCAACATATTTTAGGTCTATACTATTTTTTTCAGGGGCAAAACTTAATATAATGTTGGAAACGGAAACCCCTCCCCCTTTTGACGTCATTTTCAAGGCATCATTTGTTTAGATATTCCGTGTAAAATTTACGATAAAATTTCAAAGAACTTCAAGAATGAAATGCAAATTTCATATTTTATAGAACAATTGTGTCCCGACACATACCTGAATTAACGGGATTTATGGATGTCAAATAATCATATCAAATGAGTTTTTCTCTGATAAACATATGTTGTAAAAACGTCGTTTTCGAGGTTGCGCCGCTTGGACATACCTTTGCTTACAAAAACATTACCAATTTATTAAAAAATAAAATTCATGATTTTTGGTTTATTCTTTGGATAGAACAGATGATGCTTACTAGATATTTCAAAATTCATTTATGTACCTTGAGCGGTATTAATTTTATGGTGCTAGTCCACGAACTTTTTGATAACCCCTCGTATTAAATGAAAAGTGCCCAAGTTTCTCTAATTCAAGAAATATATTGTCATTAAGCATTATATTAAAAAAATATTTAAATCGAATTAATATTATTTCGGCATGATTTTAAATTGAATTCTGTTAATTTCAAAATACAGTATTTTCTATCATTTTTATACTGAAGCTGTAAATTACGGGAAAAAACATTGAATTAATTATGACGTCATAATGGATCTAGCACAGGCTAAACATCTTCACTAGTTATGATGTCATACGATGTAGGTTCTACGTTTAAGGATGTGTTTCATCTTGCTACCATTAAGGACCTTTAAGCCACCATTAAACTACATTTAAGCATCCATTAAGGACTTTGAAATGGCCCAATGATAACTTAATGGTGGTGTAAATGTTACTTAAAAGTGCTTAATGGTGACTTAAAGACAACCATTAAACCAACATTAAGGACCTATAAGCCACCATTAAACCAGGCTTAAAGGATATGTTTTATCTTGTGTGCGGCACCAGATTGATTCTGACAAAATTAGACCGTAATATTAGGATTGAAAAACTCACTGTCAGTGTCTTATCATTTATATTGATAGTTTTAAAATAATCTTTTCATCAAAATATAAACGTGATTCTTGTAAGAAAGTCATTCTACTCTGTAAATGAGCCCGGCTCTCTGTACTTCTGAGTACTATGATTGATTATTGTTGTACTGTTTGAGGCAATATGAAAAACAAAGAAGGTCTTAGAAAACTATGTAAACTCCAAAAACGATCGAGCTGCTAGAATGATTCTAAATACAACTTTTTATACACCTACATCGGAAATGTTTCTACAACTGAGATGAAAGTCAATTACGGATTATTTTTGTGTAAAACTGTCATCCTTGTTTTTAAAGTTCAAATCGGATTAATTCCAGTTTATTTTGATGTTTTTAAATTTGTATATGAAATAAACGACAGATCTACAAAATTTAGTAAAAGCAATTCATTGAATATTCCAAGGGCTAAAACAGAATAGTATGGAAGATTTTTAACAATATACGGTTCCCAACTAAGGAATGCATTGCTAGAACTTTTAAAGAATTGTCCATCATTGCAAAGTTTTAAGTAAGCATTTAAAAGAAATTATTTCCAGTCTACAAACTAAAATGTAAATCAATTAGCTTATACTTCGGACTTTTTAGACGCAACTTTGACAAACCATGTGTAAATGTGTCAATATTTGTGCTATATTCTACTCGCTTTATATTCATATGTTTCTGTACATAATTATCTGTCTGTACAAATGTTTTCAGGAACACAATGTAAACTAGTTGTTATATTAATTGTGTCAACCTGGTTGTTCCGTTGTACTTTTCAAATTTGGCGATCTATAAATCAAATCTAAATGAAAAAAAAAATGATCGCAGAAAAGAAGAGCGATATATGTTGTATGTGCAGGTAACGTTATCCTTATTCCTTCAGGCGGGTATTAGAATTATTACTATAACACAATGAGCAAAGTGAATAAAACAGCAATTGAACAAACTGTGCAGATATTTGAATATGTACTAAAACAAGGTTCCTTGGAGGAGTAGGCTCTAATAGTGGGTATAAATGTATAAGTTGTGTGTGGTTGATTGAAGTGTTCTCAGAAAAAATAAATTGGATTAGACAGTCTGCTTTTCCTGGTTTCTATGATCTGTAATAATAGGAGAATGATACTTCTCCCGTTTGTTCTCCATATATTACTAAATCTGCAGCTACTAAGTATTATGGTAGATTTGGAATTCTGCAATGTTGCTAAACATTAATAACAATTTACACCATGAGTTTTGATATGTGAAAAAGGAGTATTTTGTCAAAATGATAGAGTTTACATGTACTAATATTTATCTGTTGTAATCTGTATAATTAAAAGAGAATATTAAATGACTGTGCATTACATGCATTATACAATTATATTTTATTATATGATTTTTATATTATAATTTAAACTTCATACTTTTGTTGATTTATGGACTGTTTTGAAGGGATACCTATTATATTATCGGTTTTGATCAAAGATTAAGCACCCTTTTTACAAAATACATTTATGGTCTACTAAAACTCTAATCTATTAAATCAATTTTCTTACTGTTAGGAAGTGATAGTCAATAAAATCTCTATTTATACAGTATCTTTTAAAGAATATGTATACTCTCTAAAAGAACATATTTCCTGTTATCTGGAAATATGAGCTTTGCCGGAAATGTTTTCTAACATACTTATTCCGCCTATATTGGAATGTTGTTGAGGTTACGACTGTGCGACTAGTGATGACAGAGAGCCATTACTAATACGTGAAATAGCGAGATCGAATCATTGCATTGTTTGACATTTTCCAATACTACTTTGGATTTTTATACATATACCGCATATACTTTCTGTTTTATTGAAGCCCATTGACAGTTTTTGTGGTAAACAAGCGGCACCTATTCCTCGAATATAGAGTATGTAAATATATGCTTTATTCTATGTGCAAAACTAGCATCTAGGTTTAAAACCAAGTTAAACATCTTTCCTGGATTGTACATGTATTTGGGCCGTATCAAACGACATGTATGGCATAGCGTGGCTACTGTGTTGTGATTTGGCAGTCCAATTGACAATAGGTGAAGCATCTGCGTATGGTAAGTTCATTAATCGAATAATCAGTCGACGGGTAGCCATTTCTTTGCTTTTCACGAAATGAAACTCTGACTTCAAGCATACTGAAAGGTGACTGATTGAGAAGGACATCTCATTAAAAGAAGTTGACGTACACTTTTCAATGACAATTCATTGACCAATTATTGATGATTGAGTGAGCAATCAGTGTCCAAACAATAAGTTTTCAGTTGAGTGAATAGTGTAAGTTCGCCCTGTTTCTCGACTTTGCAGCACATTATGTATAAAGAGCTTGTAAGTTTACACAGAAGAGCATAATTTATGTAACTGCTTATGTTATTTAAGGAAAAAGATATTTTGTTTTCATTACAAATTCAGTAAAGATAAGTTTATATAGACAAAACAAATCTTAATCTTAAGTTTTGACTGTTGACATTATTTCTAAGTACGAGGGGTTATCAAAAAGTTCTTGGACTGAGGCTATAAAATTAGTACTATGTATTCTGTGCTTTCAAAATTTATATGGAACATAAAACAACATAAAATAGAGAAATGTTGAAAATTTTAGCCTGGTGTGTTCATTATTTGCCAAATTATTGTAAAATGAAAACGACATTATATGATCACCTGGCGCTGTCGTCGTTTATTTTCATGACGTCCGTCATTGTTTTTTCAATGTCATCTTCTTCTACCTCTTTTTTGATGAGATTCCCTCGAGCTGAGTAAGGACTTAAACCCGCCTTGTTTTTATGACTTTACAATGTCATTAACAGTGGTCTTTAATGAATATAATATTTTAGATGGATAAATACTTTGGGAGAGATCCGAGCTTGATTGTGCCGGCATAGTTTGCTTTTGAGAGTTCAGTATTTACAACAAATGATCAACGTCATTTTTTACGGGATTGATTTTTCGCACCTTGACTGCAAATCGACATTAACTGTGTATCCCTTTACTCTCTGAATCTATTTTGACATTAAAAGACAAGTACTCTGGTTGCATATTATTTCTCTGCAGCCAGTTTCAACATATTTTAGGTCTATACTATTTTTTTCAGGGGCAAAACTTAATATAATGTTGGAAACGGAAACCCCTCCCCCTTTTGACGTCATTTTCAAGGCATCATTTGTTTAGATATTCCGTGTAAAATTTACGATAAAATTTCAAAGAACTTCAAGAATGAAATGCAAATTTCATATTTTATAGAACAATTGTGTCCAGACACATACCTGAATTAACGGGATTTATGGATGTCAAATAATCACATCAAATGAGTTTTTCTCTGATAAACATATGTCGTAAAAACGTCGTTTTCGAGGTTGCGCCGCTTGGACATACCTTTGCTTACAAAAACATTACCAATTTATTAAAAAATAAAATTCATGATTTTTGGTTTATTCTTTGGATAGAACAGATGATGCTTACTAGATATTTCAAAATTCATTTATGTACCTTGAGCGGTTTTAATTTTATGGCGCTAGTCCACGAACTTTTTGATAACCCCTCGTATATTTGTATCTTTATTAGTATATGAGTAATATATTTAAAGAAAATAAAAAAAGAAAAAACTTTTATAATAATTTTATTTATTACACCGAAGATGCACGATACTAATGGAAGTATATCAACTGAGTAAAGTGGGTATAGAAAATAAAATAAAACATATGCTTGAATCAGGTAGTCTTTAATGATTAATGAAATATATATTTACTAGATTTTTTTGTCATTTTATAAATGTCAAAAAGTATCCACTGTATCGCTTACTTCTGCAAGATGTCAATTAATATTCAATTACCCAAAAGACGATAATATTAGAAATATTTCACAACGTCAATTTATTTTTTTATGCTGATAACGATATGTTTACCAATAATCCAAAAATTATATATGAAGTTATTACTATGTTCCACAAACAAAGTTGATTTTAGGTTGATTCTTATCGTTTTTTATTTGATCCCTGAAGAAGTCAGGAAGATTAATTTCTTTTATTTTTTACCAATTAGGCGGTCCAAGGTCTCAAAGGCGGCTGTGTCGATTCTCAAGAAACCGCATTGTCATAATTAACACTAGCCAAAAATGAGCAATCTTTATTCAAAAATTTCTTCGTCAAAAACAACTTTCTAAAACTTAAAAAAAAAAACTTGCTACATGTAAAAGAACTTAAGGAATAAAAATTGGGAGAGGATGTTTGGAAACTACGATTAATATGAAAAAAGTTATGGCACCTGACCAGTTTTCCTAGTGATTTTGTCCTGCAAGTGTCGTCGAAAATGCCTAGTACAAACTTACTGGAACTTCAAAGAAATGATAAGCTTCAACTGTATCTGTGCAAAATTATTTATTTTTTTAAGAAGTCTGTACCAGAAGATAGATATGCAACAGCTATATCGTTCATTTCTATTTACAGAAAATGTTGCGTTACATAAGACGGCACAGCAACAATATCCATTTTCTAATGGATATTGGGGAGCAAATAAAGCTGTGGATGGAAAGTATTCTATCCGGTCTGCCGATGGAGGACAATGTACGATCTCTGACAATCAAAAGCAAACTGCCACCTGGTGGGTGGATCTAGGAGACGTTCTCAGTATACACCATATAAAGATATACCACAGGACGGATGATCTGACTTGGGGTAAAGTAAAACAGTTTTAATTGATTAATACATAGCATACTCTTTTTTGTTTAAATTCCATTTGTTGAACAAAGTACTCCTCATAGAATGAAACTTTAACATTTTTTAGGCTTTGGTAATACAACCAAATATTTTCAATTGGTAGAGAATCTGTATTTATACAAGTAATATTTCTATTTGATATAAAAATGCGTATTAATGAATAAGAATCATATCGCATAACAATCTAGAAGCCTTATACAATTAGGAAATAAAGTCCGAGTTTTCGTGTATGTTGCAGGATGTTGTTTGAAATATAAAAGCTGAGGCGTCAGCCTCAAAAAACATATTCAATCAACATTTCGAGACCGAGAGGTTATCCTTCATCATTCACGAAACTTTATTTCTATTCTACCAAGACCGCTAAGATACGGCGTATCGTTTCCTTTATAGAAAAAATAGGTCACCGTGTCTCGATTACGCTGTTCTACTTAATATCAGACGGGAAATCTTTTTATATGTGTATGGAATGCAGATGATTTCAGCTTTCGTTGCATTAAAAAAAAAACTTTTTTTAAAATTAAAAAAATTCGTTCGTAGCCAGTTATGATAAGTCTGTACAAAGGCATAAATACATAAAAATACATATTTATTTGTGAGTTAGATTATAATCTCAATATGTAGTCCTTGTTAAAATTTCCAGTCAACTTGTGATAAAATTTTTAATATGGTATTATGAAAAAGGATATTTGTTATGTCACATGTCTTTGTTGATCACGTGACAAACATTTATGATATTCTTCAATGTAGCACAAAAATCGCATCGTCACAAGTGCATAACAACATTTTTAGGCAAAGCTTCTTAAATAGATCAATTCATCGTAATCTCTGGTACATATATAAAGTGCTGGGGCAAGTCTGATTTTTTTACTTCCTGAAATTATTCTACAAGAAATTCAACTTATCAACATAAGAAGGGATATTTTCACTCTTTATCGCGATTTATACAAAAAAAACGGATTAGCTACAAACAATCCCACAGCAGAATTCAGTTAGAAGACAAAGGACAAGATAGGGTAAGAACAGCATTTGGCCCCCGATTTTGGGTATCTTTTAGAATGATCCAACAATTTATCCATGAAAACCTGTTTTCACCCCTGCCACAAAATGAGTGCTGGTTTTAAGATTTAGGATATACAGAGGTCACAGTGAGGTCAGGAAATAGATCAATTTTCGAAATTTCTCATTTTTAAGCAAATTTTCACTAATTTAGCACATTTTCTTTCGGAAAACATAGAGCTCACGCTTGCCTATCTACCAATTTTTTATATTTTATACACTGATATCAGATGCAGTATATGTGTAAAAATCCCAGATAGGCAAGTGTGTGCTCTATGTTTTCCGAAGAGAAATGTACCCCCAATATGATGAAAATCCACCAGAATTGAGGAAATTCGGCAAAATGTCCTATTTCTGAACCCTCTAGTGGCTTCCATGTAGGCTTTGAATCAAAATTAGTGCTTGTCTTAAAGTAAGCATCATTTTAACTTCTTAACTACAAACTATCAGTTTTACCAGTGTTCTGATTTTTATATCAAATAAGGGGCCAGATTCGGCTGTTACCCTATCTTGTCCTTTCTCTTGTAGATTCACACAAGATATTTTCAATTAGTCCTTGTTTTTCACTGGTATCAGTCAACTATAAACAAGATTCCTGAATTCTAACTCTGTCTACAGACGTGTAAGGGGAGCGTTTCACATTCCATTTTCGCTATTGTTTGAATATCTGCATATTGGACAATCGAAAGAAATAGGAATATTTAAATTTCAAATGTTCAACATCATAAAAGAACACTTGAGCTTAAAAATAACAATTCCGACACTTGAATTTAACAACAACTCAAAAAAAAAATGTTAAAAATTATGACACTTTTCCCGTCATGTCAGTTTAAGTATGCAGTGACGTGACGTCATTTTCTATTATGACGTCATATCTAGGTAGTTTAGAGAAGTTTACTTCAATTTGAATTTTATTCCCAAGTGACTATTAACCCAACCTGAATAATAATTAAATGGATGATGCATTCAGGGAGACCAGACCTGCCTCAGATGCTGGATCTGACCTACATATTCTAGATTATCGACCAGGATAAAGTTTTTTGATCATTCATCTAAGTATGGACACTATTAGACTTTCTTTGGATACTGGGTCTTACCAACATTTTCTAGATGACAAATCTAAGGCCAGTTCAGGAGAGGGAATGTTTGCCAGCGCTCGCTAAAATTACTATTGGAGGAATAAGGAATTTTGACGAGCGCTCGCAAACAATCGCTTTGCTGAACAGGCCTAAGGTTAAAGTTTTCGGAACAGATTCATTCCGAAGTAACTATAAGTCCCACCCTCATCAAACTTGAGACATCTAGATATGAATACCACCAGACTTGTTCTGAGTGCTTCATGTGAACTACATTTTCGAAATGAGTGACAATGGCAATGTTTTAGGAATATCTCTTAAACTATATGAGTATTGCATCTAAGGAAGGGCTATTCAAGACATTCTTTGTATATGGGAAATGTAAGGCGTTTTCATGATTAGGAAGCAGGTTAAAGTTTTTTGAACAGATCAATTTCCAATGAACCATAAGACCTTCCCAAAAAGCAGAATTTGCATGAGTATTGTTGTCAGGATGAACACATACTACAGTGTGTATAAAAATATGATGTGAGATTAACATAACGTAAATTGGTAAATTCGTCTAAATGACCTTTGTTACCTTTCATTATCTTTATTTTTTTTCTTTTTGCGTCATATCCTTGGTCTGTCTGCCTTTTGATTTTCTTATTTTCAAAGAAATTCATAGATAAATCAGGGATATTTTAACTGAAATGTTATATATGGCAAACAGCATGAAAAAAGCATTACTCAGTAACAATCTTTTTTTTCAAATTGTTAATTTTTAAAAGATCCCAAACTTAATTGCATTCGAATATTTAATTTTTTTCACAATACAATATCCATATTTATCTCATACAGGTAAATTGTTTTATATTGTAACAGACGCAAACAACGGACATCCACCCCGATTCCTTGGATTCTCTGTTTACATATCGAACACGACCAACAAAGACGATGGAATTCTATGTTTTAAGGATACAAACTACACGAGGGCCACAATTCCGGATAATGTAACCATAGAATGTGTAAAACATGGACGTTACGTCATCTACTACAATGAGAGACTCCCAGGAGTTACCTACCCTGATGGATATTCTCAATACGCTTACAACGAGCTCTGCGAACTTGAGGTTTACGGTAAGAGTATTACAAGGAAAATTTGCGCAACCATTGGTTGGTATTCACGTGCCACACACAATGGTACTTTTGTTTTAGGCCAACAATAAAAAATGAATCGATTGATGTACTCCGACCGACCATCAAAATCGCCTCTACCCAATCATTTTTCCATACTTTAAAATTTTCGGTTTTTTTTCCAGTTTCCATAATATACTTTCTCTATGATGCTTTTTGATTGACATTTTATAGCAATAAATAATAAATCTGTATATCTTTCATAACTTTTTATGAATTTTTTTTTTGATTTTTATGACATTTTCTCATGTCATTTTATCCAATGTTGTATAGCAAAAAAAAGAAGATATTAATTACCTTCCTACATGTACCAAACCACCTTGATGTATGTGGGTCGACGTGCATCATGCAAAAAAAGTTTAATAATGGTCTTTATAGTAAAATGATGTTTTATGAGAATGAAATGCCACAAGAATACATGTAGATTGAGAAAAATGATTTTCACAATTTTCCTTCTTGTAGATACCTCTATTGCTCTAATTTAAAGCTGTACATTAAAACGCCTTTGTTATTTTGAGGGAAAAATTGAAAACAAATTTCTTGCAGTAAATATAAAATAAAGAAAACGAATTGCAATCGCTATCAGTACACGAAAGAGGATGCTTCTGAAATTAGTACATACATAGATTGAATTAAAACACCCATCCTTAATCAATCTCGTTCAGTATATCATGTGTTATGAGTGTAACGTTCAAGAAACGCAACAATAAAATTTTCAAATACCAACTAGTGAGATCAATAAATCTCAATCTAACATTTCACTCTCCAGCAGTAAATATCGATGACAGACCATGAAGTAAATTCTGAATGATCAAAACTTTTTTAATTTTCTTTTTATTATTATTATTATTATTATTTTTTTTTTTTTTTTTTGCTTTTTTAAGTTTCAGTACGTTGTTTAAATCTATAGAAAAGTAATCTATAATTTTTATGCCCTGTTTACATGGAGAGTTTAATTCGCAGCAATTTAATGCGAAGTAAAGTTATGCAAACTAAAACAATGTGAATTAAATGGCGTCCACACCACAGCTAAAACGTTGTTAACTGTTGCGAATTACAATTTTATTTCTACAAGAAGGCTATTCAGTAAAGCTATTCTGACGTCATTTGTAAATTACGTGCAGAATCATCCATTTGATATAATAATCTTAGTTGCAACAGGTTATAATTTAGTTAGACATACTTTTCCTTGATTTCTGAACCAAATATATCACAGATACATATATCTAACCACCAACATATATCTGAATTCTGACATTATCCATGTGACTTTATTCAGTCCTTATTCATGCGTCAAAGTCTAATTCGAATTGCCTTCGCTTGGCGTTCACATGTAAGGCAGTAAATTTAAATTAATATGCATAAAATTATCAGTGTAAATCCGATTTAAATTTAATTCAAAGTAACTTAGGTCTTATTCGAATTAAATTCTCTCTTTGAACAGGGCAATACTTTAAATTTTATTTAAGGCTGCTTAAATGTATGCATAGGAGTTCGTATAGTTAACTATAATCATTATTTGATTTTTTTTCTGAGGATGCCCTAACTCAATGGTTTATAGAAACAATTGTAATTTATCGTGTCCAAGGAACTGTAAAGAGGGTCTTTGTAACATTGAAAGTGGAACCTGTCTAGGGTGCAATAAAGGTTTCAAAGGTCTTCGGTGTGAGGAGCGTACGTATATACTATTTGAGAGAGAGAGAGAGAGAGAGAGAGAGAGAGAGAGAGAGAGAGAGAGAGAGAGAGAGAGAGATCTGATTGATCATTTTGTTTTCTCCAGTAAAACTTTCAATTTCCTTTAATTAAATTCATTTTGCAGAATGTGATGGGCGGACCTACGGAGAGAACTGCGGTATGTTTTGTGGCCCATGTTTAAATTTAGAACAGTGTCACCAGGTGAATGGCACGTGCTTTAAAGGGTGTGACAAGGGATTTTACGGAGAATGGTGTACTAAGGGTAAACCATTTTTATCTAGATGTATTTTTAAAATAATTTAAAATATACTGCAGTGAACCTTCAGATATCCTGACGCTTCAGTATCTTGACGATTTTTATCAGAACGAATTTTTTAAAATGTTATTTTGTCTTGTTTAACCGGTAATTCAGGTATCAGGACACTTCACATATCCAAACAAATTGGCTAGGAACCAAAGTGTCCGGATAAATTAGGCTCCACTGTATATGTTTACACTTGTTCAGCATCTTTGTACCTTGTCTTTTATTATTATTAATTATTGCCTCCTTGTAAAAGTATTGTTTTATTCCGAAACAGGATGTATTGATGGATTTTATGGCTATAACTGTGAAGACACATGTAACATCAACTGTGGAGTCCCCGGAAAATGTGACAGGGTTACAGGAGAATGTGAAGGAGGGTGTCAGGCAGGATGGAAAGATTTAAAATGTGATCAGAGTAAATACATTCAAATTTTTTTTCATTCATCAATTTTGCTAATTATGTTAATATAAAAAATTAATTTCAACTATAATAAAAGCAATTAAATGCTTGAAAAACACTTTAATGATCTACATAGTGGTAAGTATAGAGGGAATATATAGGAGATGCTAGCTAAACAGGCATCAATTGTATTCAAAACTTGATGGTTTTGTCAAAGTAAAGAGAAAATAAATCAATTTTTACCAAGTAGGTTGAATTAACAAGTAGTTTGAATTCCTCGTGTTTTGTATTCGAGATACTTCTATTTTATAGAATGTGATGGAGGCAGATTTGGACAAAACTGTGCTCAGTCATGCGGGGTTTGTCTAGATAAAGAACAATGTCATCACATAAAAGGGATATGCCCGAATGGCTGCGATAGAGGTTATCTAGGAGTCAACTGTACACAGGGTGAATTCCAGTTCTTGAAAAGTTAAAATAAAATATATCCTGCATTATTTATGAATCAGCATTGAATAAAAACTTTATGTTAAATTGCAAATAATCTATTTTATTTTTAAATGAAAAGAGAAGCATTACATAATTTTAAAATTTGCGTTCATTCTGTAAATAAAAAGAATTAATATTACTTTTAATGAATTTGTTTTAACTCTGGATTACTTTTACTTGAAAGTGTATATTCATGTATTTTTAAATATAAAATTCATGCTCTTTTTTGCATAATGTAACTGTTTAAGGGATCAAAAATATTACTTTTTCACTTAATATATTCAGGCAATCGTGAAATATTATTAAAAAAATGTTACTTGAAACGAAAAAATAAATAAAAAAAAAAAAAACAATAAATATCATTAAGAAATCTTACCGTATTTTTTTTCTTTAAAATGATGATGAATATAAGCACGGTTTTATATTCTCTACCAATTCAGAATGCCTCCAGGGTTTCCATGGATACCAATGTAATGAAACATGTAGTGCAACTTGTTTAAATATGAGTTGTAACGCGGTAACTGGAGCGTGTCCAGTGGTAAGTTATACTGGTTATTGATCAAACTTATACGCATTTTAAGCTGATTTTTAAATAATTTCATCATAAGAAGTATTTCCAAACCATTTTTAGAAATAACCAATATGTTTTGAATACATATATACTTTTGACATTAATTGATGGTTGATAATTCTTGTGGAAAAATAACTTATGGAAAAACAGAGGGGAGTTATTTTTCAAGTATTTTTAGTGACCGTTTGTTGTGGCAGAGAATGTAGATGACAATTCTTGAAATCATAAATAAAATATTTGGTAAATATTATATTCTGGCAGTTTATCACCTAATATTTTTACTTCAAAAATATTTTCTGTCATGAAATTCTAGAAAAAGAGAATAAAGTTCCATTCATATTTGAATAAATTGTACACATTAACTAAAAAAAAAAATTGGTAAGAGAAGTCGATTGATTGATTAATTGCTATTCTTTAAGGCTGAGTCAGCAATATTTCAGCCATATTTTGGTCGTGGTAGAAAAAAAGATATAGTTAAATGATAAATTTAAAAATTAACATTATTGACACCGACCTTTTCTTTCATTATTCTAGACAACAGGATTCCATTACGAAATCAGAACCTACGTCTTTCAATGTTTAACGCAAGAAAACTGTTAAACTCTCGAAAACTCTTAAAAATGTCATCTATAACATAGACAGTAAAAAAATGCTTCATTGTTTCTCAACCATTATAGATATTTACCTACCATTGTCTATTTAGAAATTGAATTCAACCAAAGTTATATCAAATTCAAATTTCTAATCGGTTAAAGGGAATTAATGCTGTCTGGTTTCACTATGATTTATATGAATAAAAAAAAATATCAGGAAGAAGTACAAATAGTTCCAATTATGATTTTAATAGTTTGATTAAACAAAAAAGGAATCTGAATCTAAATTAAAGTTTTGATACAATAGGAACAATATGCTATAAAACGGTTTATGATTATCTATATTTATCTAAGTTTTATTTACCGTATCAGCAGAGTATTAAGCGAGTTTTTAATTTTGGCATTATAAGCGAGTGTGTTGAGATAGCTTAAATTGAATATCGATAAAAATTAATTGTGTTGTATTTGTAATGACTTCTCTAGTGAGCTTTTAAATATCGCTAAAATTACTTCTCGCTAAAAAAAATACCAATTTTAAAGGACAAATCGCTAAATTTGCGTATGGTTAAAATTTTCACTTATACGGTATTATGATTAAAAGAGGAAATTTGAATCAATAAGATGTATCCGCTCTGTTCCATATTATGTACTACTTCCAGGTGTCTTCTCCAGATTTGAACACATTCCTTATCATAGGAGGAGCTGCAGTGGTCACGTTTGTTAGCCTGGTCGTGGTTGACACACTATGTTTTGTTTTCAGAAGGTAATTGTACTGCATGTATTTACATTTTATATGGGACACAAACTCACACCAATACACACTCGATACACACCCTGGCTTCGCTTCAAGTCCACTTTCAGAAATTTCTGGACCAGTCTAGGCGTGCCTTTGGTGCGCTTTGGGTTTGCTTCGCGTTTCCCCGAGGTCAAAAAGAGCAAACCCGTATCGCGCTCTCCAGGTATATTTACGCACTCATCCGTGAAGCGGACCTCACTTTAATCTTGCCGACAATAAGCCCAGAGTTTTGTATATTTTAATTAAATAGTGGGTTCATTAGATCGATTATTTCTGATATGTTATGTATGGTCCGTCCGGTGTAACTAATTAAGGATGTTTTAATAAGTAAAAAAAGTTTATCCGCGTAGTATTTGAATTTTCACCAAATTGGGATATGAAGAGAAAATACTTGATAAGGTTAAGATTAAAAGAGGTAGAATTCTGAACATCATGGAAGGTTTAGAATTTCTTTATATTCTAGAAATTTATTTTTTACATAATTTTCAATGAAATAAGACAAGAAAATATATACCAATCAAGGCATCCATTTTTTTGTATCATATGTCCTTAACATTATTATATATTTTGCTTACTTATGTATCCTAACATTTTAAAATTGATATTTTACAAATAAAAGAATATAAAGCTCTTCTGAACACGGGACATCTATTTAAATTAAATTGATACATTTGCAGTCTTTAATCCCCCCCGGCTCTGAATTATAAGGTATTGTAGACTTGACATAGCTGATTATTTGTTTAGAAATAAAATACTTTTTAGTATAAAGATTTAAATTCATTTGATACATGTAATCTATATAATTTTATTATTATTTTCGTTAAATTAGGAAAAGTACAAGTCGCATAGACAAAGAACAAAATCATTCAGAAAAGCGTGGAGAACAGTTTTCCTTAGGAAATACGACACCTAATGATGGTATCTATGACAGAATTAGCGAGAACCGACAGTACCAAGAACTTGGACCCAAGACAGATGGATATGATAATGGTGGATATCAGGGAGTTGGACCAAGGAAAGAGATAAATGGTAAAACTAAAGACAACAAAGAATACCAGGAACTGGGTCAAATGAGTCAACCTTCTCATTATGACAGCTTACATTAGTGTTGAGATGTGTAATTCATATTGTTCATTTCTCGAGAGGGACGTTAACTATATACTAAATCAGTCAGTCATATTGTTCATTATCTGGTTATAAATGCGATACCGCAAAACTTGTTAAGTACAAACACGGATATTGTGAATTCACGGAAAAAGCGAAAAAAAAACCCAAGCTTCATAAATTTTAGCGAATTCCTCACACGGAAATAACGATTAACAGACATAACGAATTTATTTTACAGGTCCCCGTGACTTTGTTATAATCGAGTTTTGCTGTATACTGTATACAATTTATTCTTGTACGGTCAATTGCAAAGAAATTGTAAAGCAAACACAAGTGTGAGATTCAAATACACACTCCTTGTGACAATATATTTATTTCCATTTCATAGCAATGGAATGTTCCTTTAAATTTCAGGATATATAATCTATAGCTCTCATGCATCAGCTTTTCAGAACAATCATAGATTGTCTTGTGTAAATACTTTTTTTTATGTTTTTACCACAATATCTTGTATATCATTGAATCATTCTTTTGTCTATCCCGTTTATATCTTAATTAGCATGAAATTGTTGTTATATCTTTATCTTGAAAGTCTATCTTTTCATAAATGCTATGCCATAAAAATTTTTCTTCTCCATTCTATCTCTTCAGAATTATATTTTTCGCATGTATCTAATCAAACGTTTATCAATTTGAAAATAAATTTCCAAAGAGAATATTATTTTTTCCTTTTAAGAAAAAAAAAAAACACAACGTTTTTGGGTCTACCTAGGTTTTTTTTTACTGGAAGATTCCGATATGTGTAATGAAAATATAAAATTTCAAAAACCAATATTGTCTCGCTATACATGTAAATTGTTACAAATTTTGTTTTGTGAACATCAAAATCTCGCATTTATATATAAATTCGACAACAAAATTTTAATATCTATATGAAAAACTTCTTTCAACTTCTTTGATTCCATCAAAGCCATGTAGGTCATGTTTTGAGCAAATTAGCTTTTACACTTTATGAGGATGATTTCATATCAATATGACTAAAATGAACTCGTTGTCCTGGAGAAGATTTTTAAATAGATGCCCAAACAGAAAAGACAGCCTATCGGATCATGCTAACAACTCATGTGTAAATCATGGTTTTGATATGATTTCGGTATAGGAAAATTTCACATGCAAATGAGCTAATGGATCATGGTTCTGAGATGATCTGTTAAACTAAATAACTAGCAAGAAAACCATGATCCTGGTATGATCTGTTGTAGAGCTAACAACTCGTATTAAAACCATGATCCTGGTATGATCTGTTGTAGCTCACAACTTGTATTAAAACCATGATCCTGGTATGATCTGTTGTAGCCAACAACTCATATCAAAATCATGATCCTGGTATGGTCTGTTAAATTGAACAACTCGTAGGAAAATTCTACTTCTTATACAATTTAACTAAACACTTTGATATTTGCAATAAAGTTCTCTTTAATATTTGATAAATAATTTCAGTTACCAAAAATTAAGAAAAATATTATACACATATTTCACATGAGCCATGACGTCATATAAATATAATCCCAACAAATGATCTTCCTTAATAATATGACGATTTAAATATAAAACATTATCCAAACTATTCACTGAATTTTATAAGAACAGAATCACAGAAATCCATTCTTCTTAAAGAATAATCCGGAACTCATTGATATCACTGCTTATTTATGATTCCGCGAAAGCATATAATTACAACATTTGTTCACTACAGAATGAGCAGAGTTGTGGATCTATTATTCAGAATCACAAATACTGAAAGGGCTCCCAATGAAGGAGTCTATCCTCTGATATAAGCTCTTTATATATGTGTATATAAGCACCCTGAAAAGAAACGTAGAGAAAGTGGTATTTATTTATCGATCAACATATCATTATCTTTTGATCATGAAAATATGAAATATTCAAGTACTTTCCCCATTGCATTAGTGAAAAGAATTAGATTAATCACCAAAAGAATACTATTGTTGAAATGTAATATTATTTACGTACACAAATTTTCTCTTCACCAAAGGCGGGTCTTTTGAATTTGGTAATTTGAATGCAACTCAGATGTTAATCATGAAGATGGAAATGTCGGTAGCTGCAAACGAATTTCATTTTTATAAATAAACATTATATATAACGATGAAAATGTGCATGTACAACAAATATTTGAATCAAGGAGGTCAATTTGATGCTTAAAAATTAAGTTTTCAATTCAAATCCATGTAAGCTTTGCTATATTATTTTATCATCTACACATTTACAAAAAAAAAAAAAAAAAATCATGCACTGCTGGTAGAAACTAGAAATTAAAAAAAGGTCAATAATAAAATTAATGAATTATACTCACCGAGTATAGAGTTAATAGTCCAGCACTTATTTTTATTGCTTATATGATGCAAAGGCTTTTCTTTTAAATCGGCAACATGAAAATGCGCACATCTTATTTATCAGAATTCAAATTCTGACCTAGGTCAATGGAAACCACTGTACTACAGCGTGCTGCCCAGCAGGAGAATTGCATAACAAGATTACTATGACTCTGAAACTGACCAGTGATCCAATCCTAATCTAATGCCTCAAAGTTAGATTGGGAGTGGATCGCAAATATTACATGAAGAGAGTTTTAATAAAATCCTGGCTGCGTTATCTAAACAAAATACATGTGTGCTAATTTAAATATGAATTATTGTATTTGTTTGTAATTTCATTCAACTTCAAAAAAAATGTTGTCTTTGTAAATATACCTGTACATGCTGTGTGCATTTTAATTATTTAAACTTAATTTTCCTGTACTCTTTTATTTAAATAAGACTTTTATTGATGTATGCATGTTGTTTGATTCTCCAAGCTAGAGTGAATTTAAAGCTTGCATTTTCACCTATCATAGATGACAAAGTTAACAAACCATATCAGGATCATACAACCAATTCTGACAAATTAAGTTAACAAATCATATAAAACTCATGGTTCTCAACAGAGAAGTTAACAGATCATGTGTAACTCGTATGGAGTTTAAAGACGAAATAAGAAACCATATCAAAATCACAAACTTTAGCAGTTAAAGTTAACGAATCATTTCAAACTCATGTTCCTTTATTTTCTAAGTTAATGGCACATGTCTGAATCGCAAGAAAATCATAGGAGACTCATTCCCCAGAAACAAACCACATCAGGATCGTACTTCCTTATTTGTCATTTATGATTTCAGTATGATCCATTTAATGGATCATGTCTAAATCATAGTTCAAAATCATGAATTTGTGAGTTTGATATGATTTGTATGTGATTTTGGCATGATTTGTTAAGAAATGTTTTTGTTTGGGTGTGTTTCCTTTAAACTCCTCAGTAAATCTTCGATTGTCCATTTTGACCTGAACCCTACCTCGGGATGTCATGATCTAAGGCTTCCTTTTTTAAAGTTAAGTCAGTTGAGGCTGATATTTGTTGTCACAACCTATTGAAAGCGAGCGAACACTCTAAGGACTGTGTTACCGTGACGGTGAACTTAAGAAGACAATTTTCAAAAGATACAACCAAATTTGCATTTGTTCTTAATTATGTTCCCCTGAAAGAGGGTGTGACTTTTTTAAGGAGACTTAAACTCCATTTATTGTTCTGAAAGGTTTTCATGGTTGAAATTAGCTCTGTGATTCGGAAAGGAAGTTGAAAATATGGAAAAAAGTTTAAAGAAAAAGGAGGTTTACTTTAGCTTTCAAATCTACTTGAGCAATTATGAATTAATGAAGGGTAAAGTGTAGTGAATTCTATCTTTTAAACTATATCCTTACTTAAAATGCTTTTCATTCCTTGAATTCTCAGAGCCTGAAGTGAAGAGTGAAGTTTTAGAAACTCTGCTTAACTCAAAATAATAATAAAAAACTTATCTATTAAAAAAGACAATGTTATGCAATAAATGCTATTGTTTTCTTGTCTTTTTTGTCTGAACCCCAGTCTTATGATATATATTTCTTTACTGGATCAAGAAAGAATTACTATCTTGCAGATGTTACAGTTAGTCATTTAAGGTCAGACGACAGTTACTAAAAAACCAATTTTCCTCATAAAAAATAGGGTACCTTTAAATTACCAGGTATTTGGACACGATATCTCAAGGTCATATGTCTCATATATTCCATATGCGTAATCATCTGAATGGTCTAAATCGGAGTTTTGATTTACTAATATTTAAAAACATATAGAAAACAATGTAGAAATCACAAGAGAATGAAAATACGATTTTTTTTTCAATAAGACAATATCGAGAAATGAAAAAAAACAAATGTTTGAAGAACGTGTAGTCTGACATAATAATGTATACTTATCTAGAAGGAACACAAGGAAATGTGAAGAATATAATTTTTTTCGGAGACTTGTTTAAGGATCTGTCATAAGATCATTTGTTAGATACAAAGTACAAGGCAGAAAGATAAGAATGAAGGATTAACTAAAAATAGCAATTTATGATAACAGGAATCCGTAGTTTTGGAATAGAAGAAAATTGTACCAAGATTATACCCGTATTGCAAAGATTTACAATAAAAAAAAAGTTTTCAATGCCATTTGAATTATTGATCATTGATTCTTGTTATACTTTGATAGAAAATGAAGCCTAAATCATTTCAGTATTTATTAAATATTGCTTTTATGAAAAAAAATCAAAGATTGTATGTATTTAATGACCAAAGTACACTTAACTTTTTGATTATAAATAGAACATTTGTCACAATTTGAAACACTTAAATCTATGCTTATTCTGAATTCAGCTGTATGGAGATATTGACTTCAAGGAAACTGCATCTTACTCCTTTTCTCACTCACAATTGATAGTCAAAAACGCTCTACACATGTATAAGCCATATTCTCCGAAGGCTTCATGATTATGTGGTCGAAGCCCGATATGCAAAATATACCCCACGTATCCCACTATTGTTGATGATTCTAACATACTATACAAGCTATACAGTGAGGCTTTATATTTCCATGCATATTTGGCGTCCTTTGCGTAAGACAAAGAGGCAGATGTGCACGAGATTTGCATGCATATAAGGCCTCCCTAGCATCTGACCTTTTCGGAAACCTCATTTACATTCCGTTGGAATTATCAAGAAATCAACTCCGCTAACTTTCAAAGACTTTTCACACAGAAGCAAATAAGAAATGGAAATATATAAGTGTATTCTAATTGATGACCTTTATATTTTTATATTTATCGCTAAAACGTCAGGAAGCATGTTTGTTAATATAAAGATATTCTCATCTAAAACTAAAAATATGTACTGAAAGAAATAAAGAAAGCGATGTAATAATATAACATATATTTATTATAGGAATGAAATAACGATTTAAATAAAATAACCATAAGGTCAACTTAAAGGTGATTCGAATCTGTCATGAAAATAATTGGGTATATAAAAGACAGGTACATTTAGATAAAATACATTGTTATAATTTGAGAATAAAAAAAATATATACGTAAATGCATTTGTTTCCATGACAGCAATCTCTGAAAATGGCCATGTTTTAAAATGTAAAATCTGCGAAAAAAAATCTCACTGTCGGTAAAGTAAGTGACAAAAAACTTATAATCAGAATTTATTCGGTTTTCATGTATAAAATAGGGTAGCAGTTCAACATCATATTCTATTTTATACATCAAGATATAACATTCCAAAAACATTCTATAACAGCTAGAATTTCCTTTATCCATTTTGTTCTTTAATCTTGACAAGAGACATTCTCTTGAAATACTCAGATTACGCATTAATCAATTACATGCTCTTTCAGTCTCGTCATGCAAAATGAAAGAGAGCCAAAACGCTAAACAAATACAAGCTAGCTGGTGATCCCACACGACATGATTCAGGACATTTTATATATGCACCACGACTCTCCGATGGCTGCACATAGTGGCATTCATGACACTCTAGATAAACTTAAGGGACATTATTTTTTTTCAAGAAAATGTCTCCAGTTGTCAGCGATTATGTGAAGTCTTGCAAACATTGTCATAAACGACAAATTTCTCGAATCATCAATAGCATATATACATAAAATTAATAATTTGCCTGACAATACATCATGCTTTCTCATTCAGAAACTATTAAGTTCCTGTCGCAAATCAAGACCTTCAATGGATATTCGTTTACCCATAACCATAGTAGTTCTGCATAAAATTTGTGATGCTTTAGAACATACAATATCGAACATATATAAAAGGGCATTATTTCAAACAATGTTTTTATTGGCTTTTCACGGCTTCCTCAGAATAGGAGAGATAACATCAGTTGGCACTGCTAATAAGGTTTTACAAGTTTCACAGATTACTTTTCCAAAAAGTAAAGTTTTGATTCACTTTCAAAATTATAAACATTCTGATGGTAAAGTGTTTACTCTTACAATTAATTCTTGCAACTCTTTAAAATATTGTCCAGTGGGGGCATTAGAACACTACATTAAGATGAGAGGGAGGACCGATGGGCCCCTTTTTTGCTACCCCCAAAACACTGCAGTCACAAGGCAAGAATTTTCAAACATATTTAAGCAAAGCCTCATGTTTTGTAATTTGGATGTCAATAGATTCAAAGGACATTCCTTTCGAATCGGAATGGCCTCTTACTGTGCATCACGAGGGATGAGCGATAGTCAGGTTAGATTCCTGGGTAGATGGAAATCGGATGCATTTAAATATTACATAAGACATGTGACACCATGTTGATATATGCTTGAGTGGAAGTGGATCCTCGGAGCAGATTTGTTTTGTTATTTGTGTAGGATCTCGACTTTGAAGTGATTTTCAAGAGTATTAACGTATGGGGGCATATGTTTATCCCTCATCCAGAACAATAGTGCCTAAGTCATTTGTTAATACTTAGGCTGGTAGGTGACAAGATCGCGTGCATATAAACATTTAAAATGGTGCGAAAGCTTACAGTGTGAAATATTTTCTAATATGGGGGCATATGTCTATCCCTCATCTAAAACATTGCTCGAGACAGTCCTTATATGAATACCACATACATGTGAACTTAGTAAAAAACAGCGAATAAGATGATGATTTGCGACATCAAGGGCATATGTGTATCCCTTATCGGACATTCTACATAGTGATTCGTTAAAACTTGGGACCCACAGACATAATACACTAGGAATAGTAAACTCATTTGGTTGTGATGGGGGCATATGTTTATCCCTCATAAGACACTTGTGAATTCAAATTGTTGTTTTATTGCATTACGGGACATATGTTTATTCCCATGTTTGTAAATTTTACTCACTTTTGGTATGATTTATGTTTGAGGTGTGTTGCCATTTATTTTTCCTTTATGGGTCTGAACTTTCCCTAATTCGGTCAAGTCAGTGGCGTTTTCAGACCCATTTTCATTATTTTTCTGTTAAATGTAAGCGGTAATTACTGTAAATTTGGATTATCTCCCTTTACAAAATTGGTTTTATTTCTCATCTTGATATCTTGTGTCTGCTAAAAATTATATGTCATTATTAATAATACTTTTGAGAATTTCAAACAAATTATTAAACGTCACAAAGGTGGCAACACACGACAAACTGTTTTACAGACTTTTTACTCATTGAAGGAGGATAAGATAAGGTGTTCTAGCTTTGAGAGGATTATGGAAAGAAATTAACCAGTTGATGGGTAACCGGGGTATCAAAATACTTATTGCATTAAAATAAATAACGTAATTTACATGCTTGTGTTGTCCTACGAATGCATTTTGAACAATATCAAGTTTTAAAAATTGAATAAGAATTGAGTCTGTTTATGGGTTTTAATGATTACTGTATTTCCTAAGTGTATCAACATCCATCATAGATTATTTCCTCATGGTTGCATTGGTTCAATTTTGAATACAATACATCATTGCTTAATTTTTTAATGTCCATTACATGATATTTGTACAAGAATACCTAACCAGACTAAAAAAAGCATTACTTTTTGGACATTTCATGGGCTCTTTATACAAATCAATGCTTATAGGCAAACTTTAATCGTCTCATTGCGTAAGAAAATGTATTAAGTATTCAATAATGTTCCCATTGCACATAGATTCTATCAATTTATATATACATGTACTTTATTATCAGTCGATATCTCACTGTGGCTTTTATCAGAAGTAGGAGCAGCGTCACAGAATAAAAATGGAAAATGCATGGCGCAAAAATCTGAACCGCATTATCATCATTCTTCTCTCGATAGAGTCTATTAAGTCAACCCAAGAAACAATTAATTTAAGGGCGGTAAACTTCCTTACTGACATGTTACCTACACATGGACAATGCTACGATTTTGAACTAGAGGACGTTACCCTTACTGAGTGTTTTCTGAGAAGTTCCATGTTAGCATGTGCTGGGTTGTTCTTTAACAACAACTTGAATTTATGTAAACTACTTAAAAGAAACTGCAAACGAGACTTGTTGTGTGCTGAACTTGCAGGCTGGAATTTCTATTCTGGTAAGTAAAAAAATAAAAGAAGGGCTTCGCATAATAACATGATCAAATGAGATCTTGAATATCATCTTAAATGGTGAAAAGGTGCTTTTTCTAATTAGTGGTAGAGGCAATGTATTTGCTAATTTCATCAGAAACGCATTATGGATAGGGCACTAATGCTCACTGTTTAATAATCATTTAGAACATGCTTGAAAGACACGTGAACGTAAATTATCATGTACTCACTTAATTACTAAATCAAAAATTTTCTCAACAATATAAATCAGGAGCAGAAAAAATATAACATGAACACATAAAAAACAAAATAGGTGGAATCAGGTGTCATGGAGCATTAAGCATCCCTAATCAACCTTTTAAAACGGAGGCAAAGTCCTTAATTGAAAGGAGGAATAAAAATTTGAGAAGTTTTTTTTTTTATTAATGGACATAAAAAAAAACTCACTATTCGATAAAATGAAGGATTGTACTTGGTGAAAGCGAGAACTTCTAATACCTTCTGCAGTTTTCTTTTAGCAAAAGCTTAGACTCAAAAATAAATACGAACTGTTAATGAAGTTCATAGTGTCTCTTTTGAAATTTAACAGAGAATGGGGAGAGTTTATAAGGTTTATACGTATAAATTTGCTTTGTTCTTCGCATGCTAAAGCAACACTATTACACTGTAGCAAACATGTTAACCTAATATGTTCTCAGTTGGTAATGCATCGAATTTCAAAAGAAGGGTTGTCTGTTCAAGCTACATTGCTGATACACCAGGTAATAAGTTTTAAATATTTCCTTGAAGCTATCCTCATTATATCTATTTTTAGAGAGAGACCCTTGTGGAGAGGGATGGATGCAATACAAAGACCATTGTTACAGCCTAGACGTGAGAGCTATGGACTGGTGGAATGCTGAAGTACTGTTTTAATGATTATATAAGAATGAGAAATATTTTTAAACAAATGATCAAATGGCTATATTTATAAACTTATAAACATTACGAATTACTGATACCCATCAACTATGAAGTAATGAAAATCATTCATACTTTTAATAGTTATTTCAGTAGAGATGAAATTTATTGTTTTAAACAACCTACCCTCTAAAAAAAGGAAAAGGTCAAAATGCTTATTATTTATCACAAATTTTGCAGCCTTGTGCATAAAACGAGGGTAATAATATATGGAATGAAAAAAAAAACATGTTATCTCAATAATGATTAATATACTTAAATATGGCAAACTTTGATGGGTTAGCAATTATATCTTCAAATGAAGAACATCCTTTTTATTGATTTGTTGTCTGCATCTTGCTTGCAAAAAAATTTAATACAACAATGCTAAATTCCACTTACCTTAGTCTCATATCTGTGATTTAAAGTGAAATATCCATCTCCTTTACTCTTCAAGATTTTAAAATTCTAGAAAAAAATGATTTTCACCAATATTATTAGCTTTATTCAAATTTTTATTTAAATGGAAATGATCAGAAAGTTAATCTTATTTATTGATTCCCTGCATTTTGATTTGAAGAGAACAAATTTATCAGAACACTTCGATATGTTTTTTCAGTCAGTACTTCAGTCTTTTTATTTGCTTCACTTTATTGTTAAATGGGGGCACACAATTACTTCTATTTGTTTTAGAAAAATTGTGATTAGAGAAACTTGATAGTAAATAAAACAAGAGGAACATGGGCCACATCGCTCACCTTAGCACTGTGGCTAGGAAAAAGTAGAAATTGATTTATTATTGATAAGTATTCGTATGACCGATCATGGATTTTCTCTTCTTGAAAAGATGATTTTTAAATAGTTTTCCTATATATTTCATTGTAAAACTTTGGTCGGCCATTTTGTCCCCGCTCTAACCCCGGGGTCATGAATTGAACAAACTTGAATCTACTCTACCTGATGATGCTTCAATATAAATATGATAAATTATGGCTTTGTCATTCTTGAGACTAAGATTTTTAAACAAAATTCCAATATATTTCTTTGTTAAACTTTGGTTGGCCATTTTGGCCCTGCATTACCCCTAGGGATCATCATTTGAACAAACTTGAATCTACACTACCTGATGATGCTTCCATATAAATATGATAAATTATGGCTTTGTCATTCTTCATACGAAGGTTTTTAAAGAATTTTCCTTTATATTTCTATGTAAAATTTTGGTCGGCCATTTTGGCCCTGCACTATCCCCAGGGATCATCATTTGAACAAACTTGAATATACACTACCTGAAAATATGAAAACATGAAAATTAAGAAAATGTTTTTAAAAAAGCACATGTACTGTGGATTTAATTTTTAGTAGAATGTTTTTTATGTTGTTGTTGTTTTTTTGTTTTTTTCATTTCTTTATTATTTATTCTTTTTTTTTACATCTTAGCATGTACAGAGGGACGTCATGGTTACAACTGCAATGAAACATGTAATATTAACTGTGGAGTCCCTGGTAGATGTAACAGAGCATCAGGGGAATGTCAAGGAGGATGTAAAGCGGGGTGGAAAGGGACAAAGTGTGATAAAAGTAATTCTGTTCTACATAACAATGTTTGCAATTAAATACATGTACATGTGCATCATCTATGCTAATTGTGAAAAGGTCTTAAACAAAACCCCCCAAAAACATTTCTTATATTAACAGTTTACATGGAATCTTTAAAAAGTTTGAAATGCCACTCGTATTTCTTTTTTAGGTGTTTCTTATTTTTTCTGTTCGCTGTTTAACTGCGTATAGATTACTTAATTTTAAGTTTTCATTATAGAACTCTAAAGTAAATCTTCTACAAAAACGTTTGTACAGTATTTATTATATTATTGAGATATGCCTAATTTCTCTAATCTAATCGTAGTAAACGAATAGAAAGCTAAAATTATATAGGCTCAAACATTTACCAGAAACATTCTTTAGTTGATTCCTCTCTTTTTTTTTTTGTTATGTCTGGCTTAGGGTGTTGACTTTGTGTTATTGACAAATGTAAGGAAATAATGCCTATGTACGAAAGCCCAGAAGGCTCATTCGAGATTCAGCTTTTGAAATACGAGATTCAAAATTCGAGATTCGAAATTCGAGTTTCTAAATTCAAGATCCATACTAACCAACCAAAAGCGATTTCAACATTTGATCACTTCCCTTAATTACATTTTTACTATCAAGAATTCGTTGAATATATTTATAACAATTTAACCATTTGCTAGTGATAATGCAAGAAAAATTGTTTATGTATTAAAACGAACTAAATATAAAATTTATTTTACATCTTGAAAAATGCATATATAATCTTATTTTTCTCATTAAACAACACAGAAAATACGTATATATAGAATATTATATTGTCTTATCGTTGTTACGAGTATATTTTTATCTTTGACCATGTAAATCTGTGGTCAGAGACCAAAATATATAACCATAACGCTAAAGTTCTGCAGCTTATTTAGACTAATCTACTGTTTGATATCAGATAAAATGAATGCTGCATTTATTTTAATTCATATTGGCAATCTGTATTGTATATATAATTGTTTATTTATTCAAGAAATTAAAGCCTTAGATGAAGATAAATAATTAAAAACTTTATTTTTATTTATTCCCTCTATTCAGAAAACGAACGCCTTTTTTATTTATCAAGGCTACATTTCCTTTCAAATTTTTTAAAGTAACATTTTCAGTGTTGGGAAACATAGGCAGGTATTGCGGGTAGTGGTTGGGCTTTTGGTAATCTTTAGACATTATTTATAACTTTATTATTATGTCAACAACCCTTTAAATAATGTATACAATGCGAAAATGTATATATTCCTGATAAATGTATTCTATTCAATATTTAAGAAGTCATAATATAAATTGAAATATATATTTCTGATATATATATAACACCCCTTTCTTGCACTGTTATTTAATCAAATGACCCATTTGTTTTAAATATATTAAACGATTTATTGATAGATAAAACATAATTAAGGGGAGTAATCAAATGTTGAACCCGCATTTGATTGGTTCATCTGGATTTTGAATCTCGAAACTCGATTTTCGAATCTCGTTTTTCGAACCTCGAATCTCGAATGAGCCTTTTGATTGGTTAATCTGGATCTTGAATCTCGAAACTCGAATTTCGAATCTCGTATTTCGAAAATTGAATCTGGAATGGGCCTTCTGGGCTTTTGTACCTATGGATAACCATCACAGTGGCTCAATCGATAGATCAACAGAACGTGGGTTAGAACACCGGCCAATCAAAGACGAAAAAAAAATATGTAGAATTTGTTCTCTAAACAAGAGCGTGAGAGTTTGAATAGGAAATCGCTGGTCTTCTTTTTTTTATATATATAAAATAGACTTGAAATTAATTTAAGGATTTTACATTCACCATATAATACATTTTTTCATGCTTTCTATAATTAATTTTATTTGTGTTGTGTTTTGCTACTTTTTGTCACTATTTAATCTAGTTTTGTTTAAGCCATGCAAAACATGTCTATTCCCTCTATAAATTTTAAGTCAGGATAATCAGGAAAAATAAGCATTTTCACAAAAGGACAATGTATTTCAACATAAGTCTTCATTCAATAGTTGATTTATGGAGTATATGTAAGTGATACATTTTGAAAACTTACTTAGATGTATTTGAAAGGATCACAAATTGGGAAATGTCTAATATAATGGGTCTGACAAAGTGGTTTTCTTTACTTTACCTTAACATCCAGTTCCGCTGTTAACACCCAGTTCCGCTATTAATAGCATCCACTTCAGCTGTTATTTTGTCTGTTAAATTGAAGATATATAAAAAGCAGTACCTTTGATGGTTTTTAGTTGAAGATATATCCAATAATGTTCATATCACTGACATAGACTAAAAAAAGTTTAATATGTTGAAACTGAAAATGTTTGTTACATGAAAACTTTTCATCAAGATTATAAATCAATTATGTAACTTTTTTTAATTATAGTCATATTAGCCGATTCTGATGAAACGAGTCAGTGCTGTCCATATCTTTACGGTGTGGCCTCCACGCTGTGCATAAGCGTAGTTTGAAATATTTTGTGTGTTATCTGGTAAGTTTTGTTTTGTTTCTTTTTCTTCGAAAACGTATACAAAAATGTGTTTTCTGAGTTCATCAGAATTCATCAATTCACGTACATTTCCTTGATTGTACATGATTAAATACTCTTTTTATTTTAGGAATTGTAGAAAGAAGATATGCAAAGAAACGTGTCAAGAAGAGAAAAGCGCAAAACAAGCGTCCACTGACCGGACCAAGCCTAACACAGAGATTTATGATAAAGTGGAAGACAATACAGGATACCAAGAACTGGGTCAAATAAGCGAACCTTCTCATTATGATGAATTACATTATACAGAACAGAGGGTTCATATGGAGGTTTCTATGCAAAATATCTAATTAAATTCCATAATTACTCTACCTACTACACAGAAAATGTTAAAACTTGTTTCTAATACATTCTTGGTACCCACGACATGCAATAGCCAGTACACATGATGACGTCATATTAAGACGTCATCGGCCTCTACTACACACATTTATAAGAAACATCAACGAAATCGTTTCGGCGCAAGGGCATACCTTATTTTGTTTTACAGAAGCAAGGTATAAAAAGAAGCAGGATACACAAAGAATTTGAAATATTGCTGCACAAATGTCAGCATTGCAATTGTTTAGTTACCAACCGTGCAGTTTTAAGTTTAAACAGGGTAAAAATTCACAGTCCAGTGTAGGTTTCCTAATTTTTTTTATCGTTTGAGAAATGCACATGATTTGTGCAGCAATTGTATTAATTTTAATAATATTCTCCTTAATATTATACATTGTTTATTTTAAATTAGATAGGATATGCCCTTGCGCCGACGTGATTTTGTTGATGTTATTTATTACCTTGAATGGGAGAGAACAGTGACGTCTTGATACGACGTCATAATGTGCACTTGCATTAATAAACTGTGGGTACTAATTATGCATAGAAAATCAATTTGAGCTTTCTCTGTACAAAAAATATACAACTTATGAATTTTTATTAGCTCATTTGCATAGAAATATCCATATATAGCTTAACTCACTTGCGATGATATTTTTTGTCAAAAGTCTTATCATGGTCTTACTGAATTATACTGTATTAATTATAAAATTTTTGAAACCATTTTTTTCTAATGCTACATTTGTTTCTGATATCATAATACATATTATAACATATAAATACAAAAAAAAACAGCTGAAGATTTCTGATTATACGCGAGGGATTAATTTCTTCGTAATTTTGCTAGAAGCATCGTTCAAGAAAAAAATATTACTCGCTTTTATTTTGATGGCACTGAAATCTGTATAAATTCCGTTGATCAACCGTCCATTCGCGAATTTTAATTCTCGCGATTTGACGTGAAAGAGCCAGTTCGCGAAAAAAGGCACTCGCGAAAAATAAGGAATCTACAGTATTTTTATTACATGAAAATTAAATCTGAATTTCAGTTTTGGTACTCTGAAAATTGAGTTTCATTGCAGACTGTCGTTTATATGATAGTTTGCTTGCGTTATTACTCGATAATGACAATCAGCACACAGCGGTGTGACAGGTCGGCAGGGAATGCTCACTCCTTCATGGCAACTTATCTCATCTCTAAGGTTTTGAAAGTCCGTGTTTGCTCTGTTTCTGTTTTTTTTTTGTTTTTTGAATACTTACTGTCATTGATGAGCAATTCAATCCTTGGTGCTTTGTTTAAATATGTTTATTGATGTAGTTCATTTAAATCAAATACTATTCTATTATATTCTACAGGGAGAGGATATGATGTTATTGATATTTTAACAATTAAACTGCATGAAATTTTTATATCATGATATATTTTAGAACCAACTATGCATATAATCGACAAAACAAGATTACTTTGATGTCAGTCAACATGGATGTATTTAAAAGTTTGACTATCAAAAATTAATAGAATGTTGAGAATGAAAGATTATGTCTTTCAAGTCAAGTCAAACAAGTCAATATGCTTTTCAAGATATATGTGACTTTGTATCTTCAAGAGCACTCAAAAAGCTAAAGTTAGCGGGTATTAATTGTGCCTAAAATGGAATTATACATTATACAAAATCTTAATGATATATTTTTTATTGGAAATTTCTGTTCAAGACAAACTCAATTCTCCCTTTTATTATACAGGTTATGATTATTTAAATGCTGAAAAAAGAATTAATTTTGTACCTTTAAAATTTATTCCTGTACAAATCCATACGAAAAAAGTTTTTCATATCTAATGTTTTGATGAGGATGATGAAAAAGTCGATGTTGGGCCGTTTGATGAAATATTGGACCACTTACGTGACAGAATGGGCGGAGCTTTCATCTCATTTTCATTCGCTGGTCTTAAAAGTGAGAGACCTGAGGTCAAATCATTGGAGACCATACAAAATACAATCTTAAAAAAATTAAAATGAACGATATAACAAAACATTTAATGACTATGTTCAATCTCGGAGAAAATGTATATTTAATATTTTTCATATTGTATAAATATGTTATCTATGTATCAGTATGTAAAACATGCATGTTAATTTTTTCTGTTCATGTAACACATATTTTATTATTTTATTAGATATTTATTAAACAAATCCCATTAACATTCATAAGTTGGAAATAGTTTTCTTTTCATGAAAAGAAATGCAATGTTTTCGAAATGACTTGATGAAGACCTATCAAAAAGGCATACAAATGAAATATATAAGTGTCATTATTTCTAATTCATAAAACCATCTTTTTGAAAGCGTTCTTTGAACAAGAACACGGAACAAGAGTACTGGAGTTTTAGTTCTGTAAAACGCAGATCCCGACAAGGATGCACTTTAATGGACGCAATTTTGAATTTTTTTTTAAAACGAGGAAAGAAATGTGAAAACCCTTTATTGATGACGAGAAAGCTTTTGATTGTGTGTGATGCACGCTTTTTTATTAACTATCACACATCAGCATAAAAAGTGTCTTCTTCTTTTGATTCATTTAAGAAAACAATTTCTCATACTTTCGACAAAAAATATGAATCGAGAAATGAGGAAAAGAGTTCCCTTACTTTTCTTCTTATAAAAGACATCCTTAAGTTGGATCATCTCGATATTGGGGTTTTTATTTCCCTTTGTTAAATCATTTCATAAAAAAAATTAGTTGATATTCAATATCAGAAACAATATTCAAAAGCAGCTAGTTGCGGTTGCCAACTACGGATTGAAATAAATAAATATTTACAGAAAGCCCATAGAAAAACCAGATCGTTTATTATTTTTATGTAAGTGCACCTATAAACAATGCATTGTAGATGGAACGATACTTTCTGAGTAAATGCACACATAAAATGCAAAAATAAATATCACTCAGGAAATCGATGAATTTACTCTAGGGTAAAACAGGATAAGCCATCATGTGAAAACCTTATCTTTCAACTACAAAACGAAAAGTAAACTCCCTAAATAAATCTAGCATTACCAAAAAAAAAAATGTATGGATAAACAAACAACCCCAGAAAAACAAGATCGTTTTTTTTATGTAAGTGCAATTATAAACAAGGCATTGCAGAGGGAAAAATACTTTCTGAGTAGATGCACACATAATTGTACAAATAAATATCATAAAGGAAAACACGTACGCCGGCATAAAAAAGGACAAGCTATCTTATGAAAGTGTATCTTTCAGCTATACAAAAAAAAAAACGAAAAATAAACTCACTAAATAAATTTTGCATTACAAAATAATTACGGAATGATCCCCTTTAAACTCCAAACTAAGGAAAGATGAATCAGCTGCTATAACTTTAAGATGTGGATAGCCTTTTCAATCAAGATTATTACATTAATTCAAAGATTTACTGCGCACTGGTCCCGAGGCTTTAATCGACAATTTGCATAACCATAAACTAAACATTCTTAAAAAATAAATGAAAAAGGATTATTTCAAAAAATCAGTTTCTATTCTATGTAGATCTAGCTTCAAATTGTTTTGTAACTGTCTGTTTGATGCGGGGTGTTTTTACTTTCCTTGAAGATACATGTACATTTCAAAAGAAATAGGGATTTATAGATTTTTTTTTCACTAGATTTTAAAACCTTACAATAAAGAATACTTTCTCATTGATTCTTTTCTTTTTTAACGAACCTCTTGTTAATCTATTACTCCTAGGGAGAGTACCTCTTTTTAATCTATTACTCCTATGGAGATACCACCTGTTGCCGATGAAGGGCAGCGAATTTATACATGTTTTCTGCATACAAGACTCATATAGAGAAACAGTAATTTGAACCAGTACATCAACAGTTTTATAAATATATCTTCATATTATAATAGAGAATATCTCTTAGAGGCCAACCAAAACACAATATTTTTTTTGCAAAAATAAATCAGGAAATTCAACCCAACCAGTCCGAATGCTTATTCTCCAGCTCCCAGAACTCGTGTTAAACCTATTGATACTCATAACTTTTCTCATTAGATTTGAGACGGGAGACGTAAAGTGTAAATTATGATAAAGAAAAATACAGGATATCGCTCTTTATTTTCATTTTGACCGTCCTATTCTGTTCAAAGCTATGGCCATTTTATGGACAGCTTACCAGTGAACATATATATTGAGCTAACCTACATGTACAAGTCCAAACTATAATTGTTGATACACTTTTTAGGTCTAGGATGAACGGAAAGATTCTGAGATATGAATAAATCACGTATATACTATCAGAATTAAAGAGATGATGAAATATAGAAAATCTTTCATCATTGAAGAGAAAAATATGGCCACGTTGCATTGTGGAAAAAGTCAGGTGATCATTTTTTTTCTGGATTGCAGTCGTATACTTATATATTATTAAATTTTTACTGCAAATTCATTAACTGATTACATTAACTGGTTTTCATTATCTTTATGATAAGACAAAGCTCTGTCTTAGAGAGAAAATAAAGAAATATGCTTTTTTGTCGGTCATTATCAAGCTGCATATGTTAATTTTTATTCATTACGCCTGGTTGTTTGTTTTAATTGATATTTCAAGTTTTTGTTATCCTTTGATCTCAACATTTCTTTTTTTAATTTTATATGTCAATTTTTTTGGCGTGTTTCTGTTTTTGTTTACATTGCTATATCTACATTAAGTTATTTTGCAATGCTTTTTTTTATTCATATTTCAAATTTATTACAAATATGAAAAAAAAAGCTCCTATACTGTCGGTCAGTTCAGCAATGATTTACCATTTCTTCAATCACAAATAATTAATCAACTTAACTAATATATGAGTTTATAGCAAAGGTGAATTTGAAGGCCTAAAAATAGTACCTATTTATGAATACAGTAAAAACAGAACGCCTAATGGGTAAAAAGTTGGGAGAAGACCCCAAGGAGAAGAGAGCATCCCATGGCGGTCGACACACCCTCTGTAATCGTTTAGTATTGATCACCTAGAGGGGGTTTTCTGTACTATTAGCAAAAAGGTCTTACAATTAATGTCAAAAACCTCAGACAAAACACAACCCACTGATAGGTATGGTAATACTTTTTATACTTCAATTTTATTTCATAA